GGGGGGGGGGTCATCAATGGCATGCGTTTTTTGTCATAACAGCTCAGAATCCCGAGATCATCTATTCTTCTCATGTGGGTTTGTTTCTTAAATTTGGGCAGCGTTGGCTAAAGGCATTCTTAAATCCAGGTACACGTTGACTGGAACTCGCTGGTTACATACATCTCTGAACTTCAAAATACTCGATTGGAGAGCTTTATAGCTAAATACCTCTTTCAAGTTACGGTGTATAATGTGTGGAGAGAGAGAAACGGGAGACGGCACGGCGAGGATCCGATCCCAGCATATCGTCTCATAAGAATGATTGACAAACAAGTACGGAACAAGTTTTCCTCAATCAGGGCAAGCGGAGATAGGAGATACGACAACGGACTACAACTTTGGTTTGAATCAAGAAGTTAATTTTTAAGTTTACGCATATTGTTTCAGCTTCAAATTTTTAAAAACTGTTGCACTCGTTGTACAAACGTTTATTTTTCTTTTGAATATAATTTAGCATTACATTCAGAAAAAAAAAGATATACATATATATTTTTGTATGAATGTAAAATTTTATTCAAAAAAAAAAAACTGTTTTACAGCAAAAATTTAAGTGTTTAAAGAACTAAATTCGAAAACTAAATTAATTGCCACGGGTTTAAAACCTATATCCTAGATATTTAAAATTAAAAATTGTGTATCATCAAGAAGGGTGAAAGCCTTAAAGGAGAACTCTAAATCAAATTATAATGGGATGTTCAAATTTCATTATGTAACACGAAGACAGGTTGTAACCAATTAGATCCGTAAAAAAGATATAGTATTGACCAAAAAGTTTAAGACCAACATCTACGGTTAATAAAACCTCAACATTTGAAGACAGCCTCCAAAGACATAGAAACCCAGAACAGATCAATTTCCAAGGTCAGACGCAGCCCCGGCTCTAGGCATGTGCTAGGAGTGCCATGGCACAGGGTCTATTACTTTTTTTTTTGTCTTTTTCTAATAAAATAGGGTCCAAATTTTTTTTTTTCCAAAAACTATAGAGAAAAAAGGCCCATTTTTTTTTTCCAGCTCAGGGACTTTAATAAAATTGAGCCGGCCCTGGTCAGACGTGGTGCTTTACAGTGACGGCTCACGACGAAGCTAATTTTGGGCTTTACAATTTCGATACGATAGAATTAAAGCTCTGTTTTTCTTGAGCCAGGAGAAAGAAGAGTGTAGCAGATGATTTAAGCTGATGCATGTGAATCGAAATGTCATCAAAGCGTTTCGTCTTGTCGAGCACATAAACTACCTTAAGAATAATAATTAATATTTTTGAATCTTGCTGCAACTTTAAGTTAAATCGTCTTTGTCTTACCTGAGAAATGCTCAATTACGTAAGGCCCGACAAAGAGTCCCAAATGGACAATGATTGTGGGAAATAATGCCATTCCCATAATTGATTCAAATAAAGTCAGTTCCCTTGAGATATGGGGAAGAAGTCGTCATTATTCATTTCATCTAAGGCTTTAATGAACGTACGTACTTCATTTTTAAGGTTTAAAAAGTCTGTTTCACGGTGTGTTTTTTTTTATATATATTCTCTTTTTATGAATATATATACTAGCCTTTATGATTTAGCCTGTCTGAGATGGATTTCTAATGCCAAGTGTTAAGAAATATTTGAACGATCCAACGTAAGTAGAGAGGCGGTCTTGAACACAAAAGGACATACAAGTTTTATTTATTATAGCGGCGGTTCGATAAAACTGTAAAATATGACACACACATGCATAGATAAAAAAGGACAGAAACCACAAACCAAAGCACAATGTAAGAAACAAGCACACCGACACACGCATTCGAAGCTAGAGTGAGGTCAATGACCAGGTTCCTGTGTGCCTTTGAAAGACTTGTGGGGCGGAGGAGAAGGTAGATTTATTTGACCTTTACAAAAGGAGTATCTTGGAGAACATCTGAAACGGGGAATGGGAAACCCTGCAGAAAAGCCATTAGGATGGTATAAGTGTCAATTTTTGATCATTTTAGTGCTCATTTGTCTATTCAAATGCGGATAAATTCCAAAAATCAAACCAAAATCAGGATTAATCAAACACATCTAAATAATAAAAACCTAACTAATAACGTAAAATGATGCTAATGACTTCGGAACATCTAAAAGACCAAAAGACTCACTTTGTTTCTGGGCTTCCTCTTGTGCGCCAAGGGCTTTATCCATATGCGGAAACACAAGAAGAAGAAGGAGAAAGAGAACCATGGAAGAGACCATTGAAGATGTCATTTTAATGTTCCCTCTTGTTTTGCTTATTAGTGTCACTCATGCTTCTGCCTTTATATAGGCTAGGGAGATGGCAATTAAAGATATTTAAAGATATGGTGGATAATATAGAAAGGCTAAAAGACTAAGAGGATAAAGAAATCTGTGGACAGTCTTAAAGCTTATAGCCATCGATGACTTAGTTGTGTGTATCACTTATGAGTCTCGAAGTTTTGGTATTATTATTCGGTGAAAAGTCTTCAATCACCAATTCGCCATGCATGTTGTTTTGGTTTTGGTTTGATTCGTCATAGTGACACAAGTTTGCCGACGTCAGAAAAGAAATCAGTTTTAACATTGATGTAACTTTTTTCCAATAAGGTAACGTTAACTTCTTGTTTTACATATATCTACTATATAGTCTATAAGTGAATTATTATTGTCTGAACAATTACTTTGAGGCCAGCTTTTTTATTTAATTCTATGTACTAGATTTTAATGGATAAGAGATAAGAAATTTATATCAAAAATAATTTGTGTATTATATTAAAATATAATTTAAATTTTACACAACATAATTAGTAGAATAATAAAAATCCACAAAAAATTTGGAAAACGAACATTCTTTAAATATAAAATTTTATATGTCGTAATTTCATAAAACTAATTCTATCCATGTCAAACTAATTTGAAATTGCAGGTTCTAGAGGTGTAATCGATCTTGGCATAACCCGGAAAATGACACTAGCGGAGGCCTGGACTGATCGTCGACGTAGACGACATAGAGCTGATTGTTTAAACTCGATTGAAGAAGAAATTAATAATATCAACTAGGCAATGCAGAACAGAGGAAGAAGATGTTGTGTTATGGAGAGGGAAGCAAAACGTTTTCAAACCAAGCTTCTCTACTAAAGACACTTGGAACCACACTAGAACTGTTTCAAATAAAGTTGCTTGGTTCAGGGGAGTTTGGTTCCCCCACGCAACTCCCAAATTTTCTTTTTGTCTCTGGCTTGCGGTACATGATCGACTTTCAACAGCAGATAGGATGGCAAAATGGCAGGGGGGGGGGGGGGGGTCATCAATGGCATGCGTTTTTTGTCATAACAGCTCAGAATCCCGAGATCATCTATTCTTCTCATGTGGGTTTGTTTCTGAAATTTGGGCAGCGTTGGCTAAAGGCATTCTTAAATCCAGGTACACGTTGACTGGAACTCGCTGGTTACATACATCTCTGAACTTCAAAATACTCGATTGGAGAGCTTTATAGCTAAATACCTCTTTCAAGTTACGGTGTATAATGTGTGGAGAGAGAGAAACGGGAGACGGCACGGCGAGGATCCGATCCCAGCATATCGTCTCATAAGAATGATTGACAAACAAGTACGGAACAAGTTTTCCTCAATCAGGGCAAGCGGAGATAGGAGATACGACAACGGACTACAACTTTGGTTTGAATCAAGAAGTTAATTTTTAAGTTTACGCATATTGTTTCAGCTTCAAATTTTTAAAAACTGTTGCACTCGTTGTACAAACGTTTATTTTTCTTTTGAATATAATTTAGCATTACATTCAAAAAAAAAAATAGATATACATATATATTTTTGTATGAATGTAAAATTTTATTCAAAAAAAAAAACTGTTTTACAGCAAAAATTTAAGTGTTTAAAGAACTAAATTCGAAAACTAAATTAATTGCCACGGGTTTAAAACCTATATCCTAGATATTTAAAATTAAAAATTGTGTATCATCAAGAAGGGTGAAAGCCTTAAAGGAGAACTCTAAATCAAATTATAATGGGATGTTCAAATTTCATTATGTAACACGAAGACAGGTTGTAACCAATTAGATCCGTAAAAAAGATATAGTATTGACCAAAAAGTTTAAGACCAACATCTACGGTTAATAAAACCTCAACATTTGAAGACAGCCTCCAAAGACATAGAAACCCAGAACAGATCAATTTCCAAGGTCAGACGCAGCCCCGACTCTAGGCATGTGCTAGGAGTGCCATGGCACAGGGTCTATTACTTTTTTTTTTCTCTTTTTCTAAATAAAATAGGGTCCAAATTTTTTTTTTTCCAAAAACTATAGAGAAAAAAGACCCATTTTTTTTTTCCAGCTCAGGGACTTTAATAAAATTGAGCCGGCCCTGGTCAGACGTGGTGCTTTACAGTGACGGCTCACGACGAAGCTAATTTTGGGCTTTACAATTTCGATACGATAGAATTAAAGCTCTGTTTTTCTTGAGCCAGGAGAAAGAAGAGTGTAGCAGATGATTTAAGCTGATGCATGTGAATCGAAATGTCATCAAAGCGTTTCGTCTTGTCGAGCACATAAACTACCTTAAGAATAATAATTAATATTTTTGAATCTTGCTGCAACTTTAAGTTAAATCGTCTTTGTCTTACCTGAGAAATGCTCAATTACGTAAGGCCCGACAAAGAGTCCCAAATGGACAATGATTGTGGGAAATAATGCCATTCCCATAATTGATTCAAATAAAGTCAGTTCCCTTGAGATATGGGGAAGAAGTCGTCATTATTCATTTCATCTAAGGCTTTAATGAACGTACGTACTTCATTTTTAAGGTTTAAAAAGTCTGTTTCACGGTGTGTTTTTTTTATATATATTCTCTTTTTATGAATATATATACTAGCCTTTATGGTTTAGCCTGTCTGAGATGGATTTCTAATGCCAAGTGTTAAGAAATATTTGAACGATCCAACGTAAGTAGAGAGGCGGTCTTGAACACAAAAGGACATACAAGTTTTATTTATTATAGCGGCGGTTCGATCAAACTGTAAAATATGACACACACATGCATAGATAAAAAAGGACAGAAACCACAAACCAAAGCACAATGTAAGAAACAAGCACACCGACACACGCATTCGAAGCTAGAGTGAGGTCAATGACCAGGTTCCTGTGTGCCTTTGAAAGACTTGTGGGGCGGAGGAGAAGGTAGATTTATTTGACCTTTACAAAAGGAGTATCTTGGAGAACATCTGAAACGGGGAATGGGAAACCCTGCAGAAAAGCCATTAGGATGGTATAAGTGTCAATTTTTGATCATTTTAGTGCTCATTTGTCTATTCAAATGCGGATAAATTCCAAAAATCAAACCAAAATCAGGATTAATCAAACACATCTAAATAATAAAAACCTAACTAATAACGTAAAATGATGCTAATGACTTCGGAACATCTAAAAGACCAAAAGACTCACTTTGTTTCTGGGCTTCCTCTTGTGCGCCAAGGGCTTTATCCATATGCGGAAACACAAGAAGAAGAAGGAGAAAGAGAACCATGGAAGAGACCATTGAAGATGTCATTTTAATGTTCCCTCTTGTTTTGCTTATTAGTGTCACTCATGCTTCTGCCTTTATATAGGCTAGGGAGATGGCAATTAAAGATATTTAAAGATATGGTGGATAATATAGAAAGGCTAAAAGACTAAGAGGATAAAGAAATCTGTGGACAGTCTTAAAGCTTATAGCCATCGATGACTTAGTTGTGTGTATCACTTATGAGTCTCGAAGTTTTGGTATTATTATTCGGTGAAAAGTCTTCAATCACCAATTCGCCATGCATGTTGTTTTGGTTTTGGTTTGATTCGTCATAGTGACACAAGTTTGCCGACGTCAGAAAAGAAATCAGTTTTAACATTGATGTAACTTTTTTCCAATAAGGTAACGTTAACTTCTTGTTTTACATATATCTACTATATAGTCTATAAGTGAATTATTATTGTCTGAACAATTACTTTGAGGCCAGCTTTTTTATTTAATTCTATGTACTAGATTTTAATGGATAAGAGATAAGAAATTTATATCAAAAATAATTTGTGTATTATATTAAAATATAATTTAAATTTTACACAACATAATTAGTAGAATAATAAAAATCCACAAAAAATTTGGAAAACGAACATTCTTTAAATATAAAATTTTATATGTCGTAATTTCATAAAACTAATTCTATCCATGTCAAACTAATTTGAAATTGCAGGTTCTAGAGGTGTAATCGATCTTGGCATAACCCGGAAAATGACACTAGCGGAGGCCTGGACTGATCGTCGACGTAGACGACATAGAGCTGATTGTTTAAACTCGATTGAAGAAGAAATTAATAATATCAACTAGGCAATGCAGAACAGAGGAAGAAGATGTTGTGTTATGGAGAGGGAAGCAAAACGTTTTCAAACCAAGCTTCTCTACTAAAGACACTTGGAACCACACTAGAACTGTTTCAAATAAAGTTGCTTGGTTCAGGGGAGTTTGGTTCCCCCACGCAACTCCCAAATTTTCTTTTTGTCTCTGGCTTGCGGTACATGATCGACTTTCAACAGCAGATAGGATGGCAAAATGGCAGGGGGGGGGGGGGGGGGGGGGTCATCAATGGCATGCGTTTTTTGTCATAACAGCTCAGAATCCCGAGATCATCTATTCTTCTCATGTGGGTTTGTTTCTGAAATTTGGGCAGCGTTGGCTAAAGGCATTCTTAAATCCAGGTACACGTTGACTGGAACTCGCTGGTTACATACATCTCTGAACTTCAAAATACTCGATTGGAGAGCTTTATAGCTAAATACCTCTTTCAAGTTACGGTGTATAATGTGTGGAGAGAGAGAAACGGGAGACGGCACGGCGAGGATCCGATCCCAGCATATCGTCTCATAAGAATGATTGACAAACAAGTACGGAACAAGTTTTCCTCAATCAGGGCAAGCGGAGATAGGAGATACGACAACGGACTACAACTTTGGTTTGAATCAAGAAGTTAATTTTTAAGTTTACGCATATTGTTTCAGCTTCAAATTTTTAAAAACTGTTGCACTCGTTGTACAAACGTTTATTTTTCTTTTGAATATAATTTAGCATTACATTCAAAAAAAAAAATAGATATACATATATATTTTTGTATGAATGTAAAATTTTATTCAAAAAAAAAAAACTGTTTTACAGCAAAAATTTAAGTGTTTAAAGAACTAAATTCGAAAACTAAATTAATTGCCACGGGTTTAAAACCTATATCCTAGATATTTAAAATTAAAAATTCTGTATCATCAAGAAGGGTGAAAGCCTTAAAGGAGAACTCTAAATCAAATTATAATGGGATGTTCAAATTTCATTATGTAACACGAAGACAGGTTGTAACCAATTAGATCCGTAAAAAAGATATAGTATTGACCAAAAAGTTTAAGACCAACATCTACGGTTAATAAAACCTCAACATTTGAAGACAGCCTCCAAAGACATAGAAACCCAGAACAGATCAATTTCCAAGGTCAGACGCAGCCCCGACTCTAGGCATGTGCTAGGAGTGCCATGGCACAGGGTCTATTACTTTTTTTTTTCTCTTTTTCTAAATAAAATAGGGTCCAAATTTTTTTTTTTCCAAAAACTATAGAGAAAAAAGACCCATTTTTTTTTTCCAGCTCAGGGACTTTAATAAAATTGAGCCGGCCCTGGTCAGACGTGGTGCTTTACAGTGACGGCTCACGACGAAGCTAATTTTGGGCTTTACAATTTCGATACGATAGAATTAAAGCTCTGTTTTTCTTGAGCCAGGAGAAAGAAGAGTGTAGCAGATGATTTAAGCTGATGCATGTGAATCGAAATGTCATCAAAGCGTTTCGTCTTGTCGAGCACATAAACTACCTTAAGAATAATAATTAATATTTTTGAATCTTGCTGCAACTTTAAGTTAAATCGTCTTTGTCTTACCTGAGAAATGCTCAATTACGTAAGGCCCGACAAAGAGTCCCAAATGGACAATGATTGTGGGAAATAATGCCATTCCCATAATTGATTCAAATAAAGTCAGTTCCCTTGAGATATGGGGAAGAAGTCGTCATTATTCATTTCATCTAAGGCTTTAATGAACGTACGTACTTCATTTTTAAGGTTTAAAAAGTCTGTTTCACGGTGTGTTTTTTTTATATATATTCTCTTTTTATGAATATATATACTAGCCTTTATGGTTTAGCCTGTCTGAGATGGATTTCTAATGCCAAGTGTTAAGAAATATTTGAACGATCCAACGTAAGTAGAGAGGCGGTCTTGAACACAAAAGGACATACAAGTTTTATTTATTATAGCGGCGGTTCGATCAAACTGTAAAATATGACACACACATGCATAGATAAAAAAGGACAGAAACCACAAACCAAAGCACAATGTAAGAAACAAGCACACCGACACACGCATTCGAAGCTAGAGTGAGGTCAATGACCAGGTTCCTGTGTGCCTTTGAAAGACTTGTGGGGCGGAGGAGAAGGTAGATTTATTTGACCTTTACAAAAGGAGTATCTTGGAGAACATCTGAAACGGGGAATGGGAAACCCTGCAGAAAAGCCATTAGGATGGTATAAGTGTCAATTTTTGATCATTTTAGTGCTCATTTGTCTATTCAAATGCGGATAAATTCCAAAAATCAAACCAAAATCAGGATTAATCAAACACATCTAAATAATAAAAACCTAACTAATACCGTAAAATGATGCTAATGACTTCGGAACATCTAAAAGACCAAAAGACTCACTTTGTTTCTGGGCTTCCTCTTGTGCGCCAAGGGCTTTATCCATATGCGGAAACACAAGAAGAAGAAGGAGAAAGAGAACCATGGAAGAGACCATTGAAGATGTCATTTTAATGTTCCCTCTTGTTTTGCTTATTAGTGTCACTCATGCTTCTGCCTTTATATAGGCTAGGGAGATGGCAATTAAAGATATTTAAAGATATGGTGGATAATATAGAAAGGCTAAAAGACTAAGAGGATAAAGAAATCTGTGGACAGTCTAGCGAGAGACTTAAAGCTTATAGCTATCGATGACTTAGTTGTGTGTATCACTTATGAGTCTCGAAGTTTTGGTATTATTATTCGGTGAAAAGTCTTCAATCACCAATTCGCCATGCATGTTTTGGATTGTGGGTCAAGTACGCATTGCATTGGATTCTCTTCATACATATTTCTTACTTTCTTACAAATTTCTAGTATCCTAATATTTACTTGTGGTTATACATATTCTGTTAGTTTGGTGGAGCAGTTTTAGTATTAGAAGTTTATAATAACACTATATAAGGTCCGCGTAAATACGCAGATGTAAAAAATGTAAATTTTTATTAAGTATATTTGAATTCTAAATAATAACCTAAACATTTTCCTACTTTTATTATGGTACTTTTGTTTCAAACCAAATTTTAATCTTACACGTTCTATTATGCAGTACAATTTAACTATTTGTTTTATCATAAAAAAGTGTTTTAAATTCTATTTACTACATTTTAGTGGATAAGAGATAAAAAAATTTATATCAAAAATAATATGTATATTATATCAAATCTATATATTAGTCAATATTAAAATATAATTAAAAATTACAAAACATAATTAGTAGAATAATAAAAATCCACACAAAAATTTGACATTGACATTCCTTAAATATAAGTTTTTATTTGTCGTAATTTCATAAAACTAATTTTCTCTCATGTCAAACAAATTTGAAATGAGTTAAAATTATAAACAAAAATCCATTCTAATATTCTCATTAAGTAATCGGAAACTAATTCCTATAAGTTATTTGTTTTCAAGTTTTTGGTGTTTCCACTTATGGCTATATGCGTTGAAACTTCTCTTACTAATAAAAGAGACTCATTGAGGCCTCTCAGAGTGTCCACCTCAGGAAAATGAAAATCATTTTGGGGAAGCCACGTCAGTTCTATACCTTCGTTGCAACCTTTGTCCACGTCAGCCTTAGTGAGAAAGTCGATGGATCGTCTTCTCTTCTCTTCTTAGAAACTGTCACGGCGATTCAGCTGATTTTTTTAATGAGCGAGCTCTGCAAGAGGATTCCAGACATCTTCACATATGATTAGTTTAAGTTCCGTTCTGATATAATCACATGTGGAATGAGAAGAGGTGGGAGTCATGGTGAAAAAAAACAACTCGGATCTACAGAAGTCGTTGAGGTTTGGTTGGTCAACAAAGATGCGAAGAAAACAGGAAGACGTCACAAAGAACCACATACCGATCCAAACTATAGCAGGGAAACAGAGAGATCTGACGACAAAAATCACACTGCCGGTGAGTTCTTTGAAGATCGACGTGCGGAACCTGAAGAGGCCAATAGTTTCTACGGTTCATACAATCAGTTGGTGTTATCGGGTTGCTCGTGTTAAAGTAATTCTCGAAATTTTTACATAATAAACTGAGTATAGTGATGAATTCTCGATTCTCTATATATGTTAATGAATGGCTCTTATTTGGACTTACGTTTCCTTGTAGTTTTGCTGTTCTGATTGGATTTTCTGATTTGTGTCTTACATTGCCACCTTTACCAAGTTGTCGGAAGAGA